GCAAACGGCGCCTCGGTTTTACGTTGTCACGTACGTTGCGCCGCGGTCACTGGATCCCCTCCATCCCCTCCTCTCCCGCGGCGTGTCATGGGAAGCGTGCGAGAAGTCGCTTGCCCTCTTGCTCCAGTTCAGTCCAAACCCCAACCCTCCGAATAAAAGACTAACTATACTTGTTTTAGAGCGCAGATCTTAGGCGGGCGTATCCCGGTTGAGCGGCGTCGCCGTCGCCGTTACCGCGCGTTGCATTATGGGGCATTTCTCACAATGACGTCACGAGGCTAAAATTTTCCCGCTCAATTTAGCGGGAAATTTCCTGCCAAATCTAGAGGGGAAATTTTACCCTCATGACGTCACACGTAACGTCACGTGAATTAATGCGACGTCACGTGAAATTGAGCGGAAAAACTTTTTCGCTGAATTTTCCTGCTAAATTTGGGGAAATTGACGTCACGTGACCTAAACACCAATTCAGTTTCCCCTCTAAACTTAGTGGGAAATTTACCGAAAATTTCCTGCTAAATCAAAGGGAAATGTACGGAGAGAGGCGTATACCCTCCATTCCGTACCCTCACCTCCTCCCCCTCAAGAGCTGCGCTCTAATTCGGCATTACGAAAAATTGTAAACGTCTTTCATTTTTTTTTTTTAATTTATCGTGTTTAACAAGCTTAGTTACTATTTTTTTTTTTTTTCATCCTCAGACGGAACTGGATGCCCTGAGGGCATCTCGGTTCCCCCAGCGCGGCAGAAAGCCCCGAGCGCGGAAGAAGCGGTCCTACCAGGAACTCAGGTACCGCACCGTCGGCGAGGACGGCCGACGCACACCGCCGAACGCGGTCGAAGTCGACCTCCGCAACAACGTCCGACGTCCGACGGGCCTCGAGAGGGCTCCGCGGGAGGCGCACGCCGGAGCCGACCCGCCCTGGCACGAGGACGGAAAGGTGACGTCGGCGCTTTTGGGTCGCCCCTCCCGCTATGCACTGAACGCCAGAACGTTTGCTCACGACCGTCTCACTAAAAGCGTGCAATACAGCCAAAGCTACAGGGGACAGACTGTATCCAGACCTGTTCAAGAGGAGGGGAAGAGGAACGGGGAGATTCCAGCCCTTCTCTGTAATTCCTGCTTTCCCTCCTCTTGGAACAGGTTGGCATACGCCCCCTCTCCTGTAGCCTTGGCTGTACTGCACGGTTTTAGTGAGAGATCGGAGATCACGGAATATGGACGCCATTTAATAGCTTAACTTTGCTGGGAGTTTAGGGGGCAAAGGGTCGTTTTATTTCCTAACCCAGGTTGTAAGAGCCCAGTAATATGTGCTTGAATAAGTGGCGCAAGGTATAAATGATTACTTTTCTATAGCCACCAGTTTTGTTCCGATAGGTTAAGTATTTGTTTAACGCGAAAAATGGTAAATTCCGCCGTCTTGGACGCTGCTGCTTGTCTGGCAACCCTGCTTTCTCCTCACATTCGGGAAAAATGTAGCAGGATGTGGGCAGGGTAAGTGCTTTGGCGCAGCTTGGAGCAAATGGCGCGGCAATCAAATCACTCCAGTTCTGAAGTAGAGGTCCCACGCCCTTCGTCCGCCGCCCTCGTCAAGTCCGCTTCGTTCAGCCATCCAGCCCGCGACACGACGCCATGTTGAGAATTACGCAGAGAATGCACAATTTTCGGTTATCCGTGCATTTTTTTTTTTCAATCAACTTATTTGGGCAGTTTTGTAGAAGCCACAAAAAAATTAGTATCGTAGCGTGTGCGTTCGATGACCCACGACTTTGATCAAATTTGGTGGTTGTTTCTAAACCTTAGAAAATGACATGTGACCACGAAGAAGAGAGTGAGCGTGACTCAAACAAGCCGGTTCTTGATCGGCGCTTTTCGGGTGGAAAGAAACCGAATTTCGAGCCGCAAATTGTGTTCTGGGGTAGTTAGGCTTTGTACAAATAAAAAAAAAAAAACCTTGGCGAGCATAAATACCCCGCCAGTGTCCCTCTACAGAATGTAGGCAGGGCGAGGCATATTTTAAGTCATTTGCAGCGTCCTTATCGGCTAACACCGCCGTACGCAATCGACGCTAGGGGCTAATGGGACGAATCAAGCAGCTTCAAAAGTGCAAGTCACTGGGCCTTTTCTGTTGATCATTGTTTCAACGATGATAATAGTAGACGTACAGAAACATGACGAACACCGCGATGGCGCGTTTTTGACGCTGTCCGATTGGTCCCACGCATCAGCTCGAGCTGTGAATGCCTTTGTTCGTTTTCTTTTTTTTTCCCGGATTTTGTTCGAAGAGTTTCCCTAAAGGTCGCAAACACGTTGACGAAAAGAAAGACTCCTCCGATGCATGCCACACTCCGTCGTGCGAAAGCTCGTTCGAATGTTCCGAAACACCTCATCCGGCCTTCTCGCACGTCTATGAAGTACTTTTTTTGCTTTCTCCGGACACAAAGATCTGCCGTGCGAGACTTTACAGGCACGTCGTGGATAATCCTCAAAGTGAAGCCAGCCGATGTCTGTGCAGGACTTCGGGCTACCCATCCAGGATGACCGCTGGGAGAAGCATGTCTCCGGCAAGGCCAGGGACACCCAGTTCCTCAAGAAGAATCTCCAGGCACAACTGTCGAGAAGGAAGCAGCAATGGCGCCAAGAGAAACAGCTTCGAAAGAGAAATCACTGGGGGAAAGCTGTGCGCTATCAACGGCAGTGACGCGTGCACACTGGAACTCCCATGTCCCGTGGTAGTCGGCCTCATTACGCGGGAATTCCGTTTTCTTTCTAGTTCTAATGCAAACATTTTTTTATTTTTTACAGCGGAGCTGTTAAGGGCTAATTTCCCCAGGATCGTGTCCGGTACCAAAAAAATGTCGACACAACACTCTGGTTGCCGCCGTCGCTCATAGATGGCGGCAGCTGCCCAGAGTGCTGTGTTTACCGGTTGTCTGCTTGCCGCCGTCGCTCATAGATGGCGGCGACATTTCTTCGGAGGTAGGGCGAGAACGGAATGAGCAGCGATTTGCGCAGCAGCGCGAATGGTTCCGCAATCGCCGCGAGGCCGCTATCGCCTAAAGTTACACTGCCGTCGAGCTTTCCATATTCCCTTGCGAAAGAAGAGCAGATCGCTCGCCTGGAAAGCCACCGCGGAGAACAGAAGCTACAGCTCCGCTGCTCTTCCTTCTTCACCAGAATGGAAAGGCTGAACATTTTATTGTTTTTATGTATATAATTTCTAGCATGTCTTTCTGCCAATGTTCTGATCGTGTTCACGGGCATGTCAAGATTGTCTGCTGGTCATATTACTCTAGCCACTGAAAGGATGAGAATGGCAGGGTCTTTTTTGGAAGCCCAACCGAGTTTGGTGCCTTTCGCAGTGTTTTGAATGCACATGCAGGCTCGAAGCTCACGAGATGGCAAAGAGAATATAGGAATCACGTGCTGAAGACGGGACAGTTGAAATACCTCCCTGCCGTTCTAGCCCAGTCGGTGACCATAACGAAGATCGTCTGCAACGCAGTTAAGCAATCTGTAAACTACCTTCTATCTCGTTGATGTCTGCATGATTATGAGACTTTCGCTCACGTGCTCATCGAAATGGTTATAATTCTGACCGAGAAGCGCGGAAACGTAACCATATTATTTGCATTAAAAAAATCTATAAATGGATTCCCGCGCAATGAGCTATGATGGATGCCGTGTGACCATGTCCTTCAGCGGAAGGCAGGATACTGCTTTCGCATTGATGCCGACGCTATGAAATTACGCTGAACGACGTTGGCAGCTGCGGAGAAAAGAGTTACCGATAAAACAACATGTATGTAGAAATTACACCAAGAACAGAACGTCTGACTTCCGATAAATAGAACTCAAACATTCTGTCCCTCGAGGCCAGTCAGGGACTCCGCTTTTCAGTGGGTAATAGATGGATCATTCAAAATTGTTCCAGACATGCGGGTATTTCAGGGCATCCTTCGCAAAAGCCAGGGTGTATAGTTCTGATGATAATGCAAGTAATGCAAAGGTGTGTTTGTCCTTTCTCCCCCTTCTCCGGGGATTATTATCGTTATTACCGTAGTTCTGCAGTTGTGAGGCTATGGCTGCTAATATCTGTCTCTTCCTCTTACAACCGATTTCCAACGAAGCGTGCAGCTTTGAGGATAGGTTTGCCATGCGCACTTTTAGCGACGCTCCAAACGTATGTTTTTCTTAGACCCTAGGGGTGTTGTTAGGTTATTTGCAGAGATAATCAAGCTGGGCCATGTTGAGCTCCAGAGGAAGTGCGACAGATGGGCCGATAAGCTTTTGTGATAACTTTCGGTTGTGCGCGCGCATACCACTTGAATACTCAACTTTTGAAGAAAAAAAAATCTATTAGTTGTTATTTTACCGCCGCTCCACCGGCATCAGATACTCTACAACTTTACTACTACAAACATCAGGTTGTGCCGTCGTTTGCTGTATCCCAGTGCCATCATTTCGCGCACTCGAAGGGGTGGAACCCATATTTGATTGTTGTGTTCCAAACAAAATGTGATGGATCATTCAAAGCTGTTGCAACCATGCGGTATATTCCTGGGCACTAAACTTTCGCAAGTGCCAGGGGTGTAGTTTCGCGGTCATAGAAAGATTGTATCTTATGCTATGCTGCAGCATAGACTAAAATGTATGAAAAGCTTATCTAGCAAACTAGCAGTGACTATATCAAGCTTCTAAAGGAGTCCAAGAATGTAGCCGTTTCTTCCTGTCACAATTTCTCCACAAACCTCTCCGTATAAAAAATACCAATTGTCCACATCATGCAGGTCCCCATCAGATTGTGAAATGGCAACCGCCGTAAGGACATCCTACAAACCGCCACGAAGTCCTGTTATGCTTGAACACTACACTTTGCATTCTTCCAACATTTTATGAGCCGTGATTTCATGATTCATATCCACCTAAGTCAAGGTTCTTCAAAGGTTGAAGCAATAAATGTATTGCATCCAATTACCGCACCAATAAAAGTACCGGAAATATTTTTGGTTGCAGTAACTTTTTATTATTAACCAAAGACAGCTGGTACAAACCACACAAGAATATAAAAATAGTGTCTCTCTTGTAAACCATAAGACATTAGCCTTGTATATCAAATAGGAATGTGAAGAAAGGTGGAACATCAATGTAAGGAACTATGCAATTACAAAATGCTTCCACGTAAGTATGTCAACGACTGAAAAAATAATTTAGACAAAGTCCCACAGACTACATTTTTCCAATACTGGCTATATAATTAAATCTATACAATAATATCAACTTTACACTGCTTGCATCACAAGTCTGTTCTCAGAACGAGAAACAAAAGACTAGGCTAAGAAAACAAGTATAATTACACAATGCATATTCATTACCTTGACAACACAGAACACTAATTTGCCAAATAGTCGGGCAATATAGATTGCTGCAACTACTGAAGTTCCTGTACACTGCTGTCCGAACAAAAAGTGACCTTTCAACAAAATATAGAAAAAAAAATAACGCCTGAAGAAACTCACTATTACCGGACATGACGACAAAAAAAGAGCTTAAAAATTGTGTAAGGTACATTTGCCGAAAACCCAAGTAATAAAACAAAACAAAAATTAAAGTACAGTGCATCTGCACTTTGTTTTACTTTCACAAAAATTGATCATTATGAAAAAGGTTGTCGTAGGTATGTCGATGCCAACAAACACAGTCCAACGAACAAACTTATACAGTCTACAGTTGCCAAGTGCCCAAGCATAGAGATGCAGCGACAAATCAAGTTTTTTGTATGCTGCTTCTGCATCAGGTTTGTTCATCCGATAAAAAAAGAAAAAAAAAAAAGAAGAAAGTTATGAAAAACTTTTAAGAGTCACTTTCCCAATACCACGTTGACACCAAAAAAACGCCACCTGGCAGAAGTCTTGCGAGCCAAACTCCCCAAACGATGAGTAAAGTACTGGTATGCCATTTTGCAAACGCTCGTACGTCATTCGGCGTTAAGCTTGCGGCTCTTTTCCCTCAAGCCGACGGGTATCCAATCCCGACTCTGTGACCGACGTGTTCGTCCATGGTCAAAACCTTGACGAGGATCTCGGCCAGATCGTACTTGGAGATGATTCGTCCCACGGCGGCGTCATTGACGAGCTTGTAGCCCCCACGCGCCGGCTCGTCTGCAACCGACGAATTGACACGGATGAGGGCTGGTGCACTCACTTGCGACTGCTTACCAGTCACCACCCTGTGCATTAAAGCCTCTTAAAAATATCCCACAACGAGAGAAGACTTTGGCGCCATCTATGGGGTTGTGGTGGAACACTTGCAACTTCCGTTTATTTCCTACTTTTTTTCCTCCATTCATTCATTTATTCTCTCAAGGGCCTTGGCAGGAACATTACATAAAAGGGAGGGGAAAGGGGGGGGGGGGGGGGGGTTTAATACAAGAAAAAAATGTTTTTGTGGAGCATTGGCATGCAGAAAAAAAAAACATTAAAAGTTTCAGGAAAAAAAGATGCATATGAAAAGTAACATGTCATTTAACAAATGCCATTGCAATTTCAATAACTTTGTAGAGGCTAATTGAGATACACTTTATATGGTTCTTGCTTTGGTATTGGCGACGAGATGTTTATCTTTTCTCAATGCCTTGCTGCAACCCGACAGTGCGGCCGACCACGATCGAGGTCGACAGCCATTATGCCATACGGTGATACGAATGAGTGGAGAGAAAATATCGGGGATGTGGACAGGTGCCGCTACGTGCTCGGGCGGTGGCTAGCGCCACCTAGCGATATATATTCATAGAAACGTGGCACTAAAGTCGGCGCGCCTCAAAATTAAGGGGGTGCGGCGCATACACAAATAATTTCTGTAATTCTTTTTTTTTTTTCAATACTTTGTCCTATATACGGGGGTGCGGCTCTTACACGGGTGCGGCCCTTACACGCGATTATACGGTATGCGAAACCACTCCTACAATAGCTCTCTTCTTCAAGAGAGCTGCTAGTATATTCAAGCAATCAAATAATAACAACAAACATAAATAATAAAGGAGTGCAAAAAATATTCCGGGTGTAAACCGAGTGGCGGCCATGCTTGAGAGCATGACCGATCACAGAATAATATGAGATGATACATCATTTCTAAAAATACCTGGGTCACTGATTAATACCTTCGCTCTGGTGAAAGGCAGTTCCAAAATCATCTCCTAGATGGCGCCACTGTGCCAGTGTGTTCCCTTGTCTCGAGACATATCACAAGAGCTCGGTCCTAAGAAAATGCAAGTGTACAAACGGGCCTCGATCGACTGCGCTGAAACCGCTTGCGACTGCTTACAACGAGAGACCACCTATAACAGTTCCAATCTGCATACAATGCAACTGAAGGTTTTGCGGTATTTGCACGATCAAATCTGCGCTCTACTCTCGAGAAGTGGTCGCTTACAACATTGTCAGAACTATTCCAAGCCCATCATAAAATAATGGAGAATGGAGCATAAAATAAACGCAGATAGTCAGTGTTCCAGGGCCACCCGACAGGTGGCACACTAGTAGTGTTTTGATCTCTTCTTGTAAGCGATCCCATATGCGGTCACGACTCTGTCCGTGACGGTCAAACACCAACGTGCGAACCAGCCTCGAGACAACCTACAATCGAAGAGTGTGGCGCAGATCTCGAAGGGACCCATAGATTGTTTTGCGCTTCCATTCCTTTCGAACAGTTAAGAATGAGAGAAAAGCGAAGTTTTAAAACGTGCAGTGCTTTTTAACGGGAAGCCCTACTAGCAGACCTTAACATTCGTCTGTCCGTCTGTGCATTGCCCTGCTAAATTCGGCGGGGAAATTCAATTAGTCTATAAATTTATGCCAAATCGGGCCATGCTCAAGCTGTTGGCGTCACCCTGGAAGAGCTTTCCCGCTAAATTTGTATGGAAAATTGAATTTGTTCACAGTGAGATTCATTTATAATGATGTACTGCTTATAACAATCAGTTTCTAGAGTTTCAAGACTAGAAATGATCAGCTCCTCGTCCAGCTACAACAATATTCGGTTACAACAATCAAATTTTTGAGTTTTCTCACTATTGTTTGAAGTGGATTGCACCGTATATAGTACACCAATTGATGCCACACAACACAAAGCAACACCGCGACGGCACATCATGTGACCGTGTTGCGGAACATCAATCAGTAAACAAGATGTTGTTCTTCCAATTCGCAAAACAAACATTCAATATGCTCTAAACAAATTTAAACAATCACTCCCTAAATACTACAATCTATTGAGCAAGAATGAGCACGTGCGCACAAAGCACATTGGTGCAGGACGTCAGCTGCCCAGGCTCTTCTCCCAACTGCATGCAGCCCCCGCTCCTCTTCCGTCGGTAGAATCGCCGACCATGGCGTCGCGGTCGGTCGGCAGAAGAGCCTAGCAGACTACACTCGCACACGAACGTACTTAGTGCACACACGCCCGTTCTCGTTCAAGCCGCAGCATCACGCAGCAACACGGCACCGACCGGTACGCCGGGGCATGCTCTTGCAAACTCGTTAAAAAATTTGAGAGCCGTGCCATAAATAAACAATAAATAAATATCCGCTGCCCCGCGAGACGCGCGACCCGACAGGTCTGGTACCTGCGATGTGCGGCGGAAACACGGCCACCCATTCCCTGTCGCTGGCCTTGAGCGCCTGGAACATGCGGTCGTGGTCCTCGGTCACCGGGAGCATGTTCTGGGGCACCTTGGCACGCTCCCAGAAGAGGAACGCTGAAAGCAATGAAGAGCACGACGACAGTAACGCTCGAGCCCTCGTACTTCTCTTTTATTGTGGAACGTTATGTCCGACCACTGGGATCGCGACATCAGACAGCTAACACTCGGGGAGGTTCCGAGACATTATTTGTTGCCACTTCAGGGCCACTTTCGATGCATGGGCGGAACAGGACGCGAAACGCACCGGTCAAAGACTCGTTCCAGGCAACATGGTTGCACCAGATGCACAGCAGAACTTTGGTGCCCGAAACAAACAAACACAAGACAGCGCTTGACTTGTGTTCTCTACGTCTTTTTGTCCTCATCCCAGTCGCGCTGTTTTTCAACATGAACAAACTTCCCCTATGTCTTCTCCCGACTGGTGCTCAATGCCTCGTTATGTGTCCTTTCAATTACCATCCAGTCCCAACAACTGTGTACCGCCCAACAAGGTAGAGGGGCTTAAGGCCCGTTCACACACTTGCAGCCAAGTAAAACTGACTGAGACAAGACCAGTTTTAAGGCCTCTTTTGACGGCTTAAGACTGGATGCGCTGCTGCGGAGCTGGTCCTATGCTGTCGCCAAGCACGTAGCCAGGATTTTGTTTCGGGGAAGGGGGGGGGGGGGGGGGGGGCCGCCAATGACAAAATGCTGTATGAAGGGGAAGGAGGAGAGGAGGTCCCAGCAAAATGGAGGATTTCGGCGGGGGGGGGGGGGGGGGGGGGGGGGGAAGGCCGGGCACCATGGCCCCCCCCCTGGCTACGTGCCTGGCTATAGCAAGAGGCTGAAAAACCAGTCTTGTCTCAGTCGGTCCTACTCGGTTGCATGTGTGTGAACAAGCCTTTGGAATAACAAACCGAAATATGCCCCCTTCAGGTTGCCGCCATGCTGTACCAGCATTGTACGCAAAAGCGACTAGTCAAGTGACTTTACAAAAGCTGTGACGTCGCCGGTAGGATGGCAGCGCCCAGAGCTGGTTTATGCGAGCCGGTTGGTGAGTGGTAGTCGTGATGTACTACTGCTTGCCGACGATTTAAGGGTTCTTCATCGTCTCCGATGCTGAAGGTATAACAAACGTTAAAGTCAGAAGGAACGAAACTTTGTACGCTTTTTGTGCCAGATCGTGCTCTGAATCTTGGCAGCTGTAAGACAGCATCCAGGATGTCTAGCGAGTTATTATTTTGAAATTCCCCGACTTTTCCAGGTTTTGCCCGACAATTTCAGGCCAAACTCCCTAACCGCAGTAGAGGCAGTTAAATACACAAGACCATAACAACACAAGGCAATGAGCATTCAGCACTGTGAGGATAATTTTGCACAGCTTAATCCAACTTGCATACAGTCGAACCTCAATATAACGAACTTCAATGTAACGAAATCCTCGATTTAACGAAGTATTTTATTTTTCATGATTTCTTGCCCATAGACCCCATGTATTTTTAGTCTCTATATAACGAAGTCTATTTTGCTGCTATTTAAATATAACAAAGTGCCATTGCCATAGAGGGCAATAAATAAATAGACTCTAAAGAACAACTTCGCAAAAAAATTGTGGTTAAAAAAAAATTATGCGCAAACGCGAGCGCTTGATAGGTTACTTCACAGGGACAGGCCTTCCAACGTTTCTAGGCTGCCCGAGGATGCGGCGCCGGTAGCGCCGGCGAGGCATGCGGCAAAGCGCATTCCGCGGGGCTGGCCAGAAAATGCCGAGCAAAAAGTTAACATGGCATAATAGCATCACCACTGACATTCACTGATCATCATAGTCCACTGTACCACGGGTAGCGCGGGAGCCAACTTCAGCGGTGGAGCGACGTGATGGCGCGGCCACACGGGCAGTGCTATCTAGGAGAAGATCGAGAAGACCAATTATCGTCTTGCAAGCGTGATGTAAAGCAAAGGCTCAAGGGGGCAAGTAAACTGTATGGGCAAGAGTGCTGTGTAGGTTGGAAACATTGGCACCGCCTAAACAGCTTTATTTTTCAACCGGGCGGTTACTCACGTGCTTGCTGCCATGGGGAAACGTAAAGTTCTTTCTTTGGATGAAATGCTATGGAATGCTATAAAATGCTATGGAAATGCGATGAAATGCTATGGAATCACTTTGCATGCGATTCCATAGCAACGGCATCATCGTTGCTAAGGAGCCAGCCAAACTGCTGGTGGCGCAGCGGGGGTGGGGGGGGACGCGGGTATGCGCTGGTCTGACGTTAGGCCTATCGTTACGCTTTGAGGTCTGTCGTCAACAACCAATACCCGCAGCTAGGGCGATGACGATGATGAGACAACATGATTTGAGCACGTGCTGCGCCGAGCTTCGCACTCCCGCCGCTGCCTTACCCAGCGGCGCAGCAGTCACCAGCGAGCCAGGGATGCTTTTGCATTCGCAACTCATAAAAAAGTTAGGTGTGCTCGGAATTTTTGAAAATATTTTGGGTGGGGGCTGGCAGGAGCACTTGCATATGGGTTTGAACCTTTCTGTCCAGACTGGCACGCCATTCAGGGTAATATTCTTTGTGCAAGTAAATATTATTATTATTATTATTACCCTTAAACTTAATCAAACAGTTAATTTATTCCCTTAGAACTCACAAGGCAGTTAGAAAAAGTCTTCACATTTTTGACTGGTCAGCGCACAAATTGCTGCACCGTCAGAAATTAGTATTAGTAGGCCTCTCACCTTGTCGATAGGCATCAACAGCACTAACCTCCACTGTATGATCAGACTTACTGAAGAGCATTTATCCTGAGCAGTAATGAAGCTGCATCGCTTTAGCGGCAAGCCGTCCGAATAAGTCCTCTCCTTCGGTGTTTCGACTTCCGCGGTGGACGAACCAATCGGAAACGGATGTGGGGCGCCGCTCTTTTGGCACTGAACTACCACACCTGTACTTCATGAAAGTGCACGTCTACGCTGGAACAATTTCGAAAGCGGCACAGAATCATCTTGTATGGCACGGAAACTAACACCTTCAAAGCAGCTCTTCGGTGCGCCGCACAACCGAAGAGAGGCTCCGCTCAATTGGACTAAGTGACACCACGACTGCACACTGCCAAGAACAACTTACGCAATTTCCGTGACTAAACTGCATACGCTTCACTGCAGACCTCAAAGATTCCGAAAGTAAACAAAAGCACGAAAACGTTGCATTCAAATTTATCCTAGCAATATCCTAATGGATCCAAGATCCGAGCAACGTAGGGCTGCCGATTGCCAACGAAATGCTAAACGTTCCTTCGTATTTTCTCATTACACCTTTGTGAAAGACCATGCTGAACTCTGACGCCACTCCAAACCGGCTTCAGATCTCCGCGGCTCCCGCATCTAAAGTCGACTTGCTCGGACCAATGACAACGAACGACGCATCCCACAAGCTCCGGCCCAGCTGGGGCAGGCACTGCCTGGGTGCTGCCACCATGCCTATGACGTCACATAGTTTGGTAGGATCACGTGACGAGTAGTAGTCACATTTGCCTATTATGGCGGCGGCCTATGGGGGGAAGTCACTTTCTTGTGCAGAAAGTGACCGGAATACCGGCTCATCGCTCTAAGCCTCTCCACCTCGTTGGTGACACCACAGAATGCTGCAATTCTGGCAGTGACAGGACGGTGGAAGTGGATGCAGCGACACCTGTTTTCATGCCTCGCAGGTTGGCGATAAACTCATGCGGCACTATTTCCGTTGAGTCATTTCCGTCGGCGCTTCTACTACATTTTATTTCGTTTACAAAGACGGTCGGATGTGTGGGAGCTACAGGAGGTAAGAACACACCAGATGGAGACATGTTCCAGGTACCGTAGCTGTACCTATAGAGCCAGTACATGAGCACCAGTGAAGAGCGATGACTACACGTAATGCCAAATAAGGTCAGTGGCTTTTGTCGACCTGGCTAAAGAGAAGCACAAGTCACAAATAAGAGAAACAGAGATGCCGTAAAAATGGCAGCCAGCACCAGATACGAAATGCGGAGTTGCAGTTCAGAATGTGTCTCGGAAACAATCTACCATTAAATCCCGAGATGCCCCACCCTCGAAAGATAACCCACCCAATTTTTTGTCATATTTGTTATTTCTTTTAAAAACACTGAAAGATGGCCCTATTTCACTCATTGCACGGCTCTATAGAGCCGTGCAATGAGTGAAACGATGATCTCGGCAAAAATGGCATTAATTCGCCATTGCGGGAGATAGGCGAACACTGCCGACAGGGAACAACAGTTGAATTTGGGTCATCGCCCCTCCCTGCGACGATCGCAAGTTTCGTGCGTCGCAAAAGCCAAAACAAGCTCATTTTGACTCATTCTTTTTTTATAGCACACCGGAAGATAATTCTTTTCTTATTTCCACCCAATTTACTTTGATTTTAGGCGGCAATCTTTCGGGGTATTACGGTAACCACTGGGGGGGAAAAACAGAGACACCCAACGCATCATTAATGTCTGAAATGGTACATTTGAAGGTTGTGAACATAACTTTCAATTTGATTCAGATATACTGGCACAAAGTGTCGAAATAAAAATGAAAGTTTGATAATATTAGTACTCACAGGAAAGGCAACAGGAAATCCGTTTGACACCGTGCTTCCCCATCGCTGTCAAGACGTTCTTCACGCCTTCGGACATTACGGTGGTCGGACCTGCGTCATGATCACGTCATGCGCGCACATTGAACACTGCATGTTTCGTCGTCGTGCAGAGAAAAGCAAAACGCAGCCCGGGCCAGAGTCCTTTAAGGATACACAAACTTGCATATGCCACAAGCCCCATATTGAGCATGCACCAAAATAAAGTCACTTCACTCTATTTTAGGTATTTGAAACTCCCATGTGCAGGTCCACACACTTCTCATATTCTCAGCATTAGGATAATGCAAGTACAGAATCTAACAATGGAAGCTTTTTGGCCTCCTGGACAGCACAAGCGCAAGTAGAATCTACTTGAAATGTGATTCTGACAGGCGAAACATTGAAATAAGAGGAATTTCGCGAAATGTCCGATTGCCAGAGCCATCAAAATGGTCCTCTTGTCTCCTGCTAAGTGGATAAATTCCGATAAATCAAACAGCTGTACCCATTCCATCCGTGCAAATACGCAGTACAAACTCTTGTCATGAACTTTTGTTCAACTCTTTAGTAATTAAATCGAAAGGACCACTACTGAGCCTGTCAAATAAACAGCACGAACAACTAAAACGGTTAATAAAGGCCTCATAGTCTCACGACAAGAAATGGAGAATTTATTTTTGGCAACGAATTTTTAGGGAGAATTTTTAAGCAAATATTTGGTGGCAATATGCAGTGTTCCAAGCAAATTACGAGAAAAAATGAGACGTTTACAACACCCTGTAACGCGGAATTAGAGCGCAGCTCTTGAGAAGGAGGAGGGAAGGGTACTGGTGAGAGGGTAAAACCCTCCTCCACACCTTCTCATCCTCCCTGCTGCTCCTCCTCCCCTCCTCCTCCTTCTTCACCTCCTCCTCCCCTCATCTTTCAAGCTCCTCCCCCTCCTCACTTTCCTTCTCCCCCTCCCCTCCACCTTGTCCACATTGTCCTCCTCCTCCTCCCCGCACATTGCATCATGAGAAATGTCCCCTAATGCACCGCACAATTACGCCGACAGCGATGCCGCTCAAGCCGGAAACAGACGCCCAAGAGCTGCGCTCTAAAAAAAAAAAAAAAAAAACGGACGCCGCACTTACGGGCAACGGGTGCAGCAATACGAGCAAGACGCAGCAATGGGAAGAAATTAGAACGCGGTAGAACTATTTAGTGCAGCTGGGGGACAGGCAGGACAGAGTAAAATGGGGACACCCTCCCGCATGGCTCTGGCCCAAATCCTCAACCCTGTCCCCCAGCGGGTCTGGTGTTGGGGTGAAGCCAACAAAGTTTAACCAGAGGAAAGTTGGAGACTTCCTCGTTGGGGCGAGGAGGTACAGGGTGCGTGTTTTTAAGTCTTTTTGCCTCATTCCCCCAAAGATCAACCAGATGGTCACCACCACGGCCTGGTGACAGTTAAAGAAATGAGTTGGCTTGTTTGTTTGCTTATTCTGGGGTAAAGGGAAAGGAAGAAGACAGGAGAGCTGTGGCTTCCCCTTTCCCTTTACTCCAAAATAAACGAACTATCAAATTCACTTCTGTAAAAGGGGAGGAAGCATGTCTGCTTTAATTTTTAGGCTAGGTGGTGCAAGCTACCGCTCATCATAAAAGGCACAGCCGTCAACATCCATCCAAATAAGGTGACTCACTCAGATCGTTCCTGGTCCCGAGAACGACGACGACCGCATCTTGACCCTGAACTGCTTCATCGACAGCCTCTTGCCTCAGGACATCCCCCACAATGACCTTGACCGACTTTCCGGCCGGAAGGCGTGCAGAGTCCCGCACCAGAACGGTCACCTCGTAGCCTGAAAGCGATGAAGCATGCAATAAGTACCCGGGTTTTTGTTAAAACCATGGTGCCCAAAACGCATCCCCGACTGCCGCGTTCACCGATTCCTCGTTCGAAAATCCTCGATTTCTGCCACACAACGTCGCACTTGCGTCATTTCGTGGCCTGCCACCGTCGTGGCTGAGACAGAATGGACGAGGCGGAAGCGGCAGACACCTGTTCTGCTGTAGGCCTCTATCCAGCTTGACAATTCATCCCAGCTAAAAATTTCCATTCAATTCAATTGGAATTCCAACTGGTTTTAATTCAAACCAATTGGTTTTAGTAGGTTCCAACTGGAAGCAGACTGGCCAATCGGTCTCACCAATTGGAATTATTTTTTTCAACTTGGAACCTGAATTAGTTCCAAACTATTCCCACTGGTTCCCATTGGCAGTGATCAATTGGTTCTCCAAAATCCTTCTTTGTACCAATGGGAAAATTCCAACTGGAACCTAATGGGAATTTTCAGCTGGGATGGAACCTTCAGCAGTCAAGAGTTGGAACGCCGAGACAACAACACTCTGTTTGCCCGTATTTATTTCTTTTGACGGAATTTTCGCGATTACTTGCAAGGATCGCGATGTCCTACAGCAGGTCACACAGGGTCCACGGCGTCTTTCTTTGCCACTTTGAGGTCTCTTCCGATGCATGGACAGCACGTGGAATGCAGGTTCGTCTGCTTCTTTAGCAGGGGTTGTGGTGACGTCAGAATACTGAACTCTGATTGGCAGAAGGGTTTGGATTTGGGCTAGTTGGTTGAACATGTTTAGGGGTTAAAAGCGCTAAAAACGACGGACGAGTAGGAGAGACACACACCACAGAGCGCTTGGCTGATTGGCTCTAATTGAGGGATAGTCTGTAGACCTCAAGGCAGCTTGCTTTGAGGTCTACCCACTATTTATCTATCCGAGCCAATCAGAGCTTGGAGTTCTGATGTCACCACAAGCCCTACAAAAGAAGCTAACAAAATTGCGCTCCGTATATAGGACGCCAGACACACCTGTCGAAGGTGTGTTCCAGGCACTGCAGTGAAACCAACATCTCCATGTAAGTTACAATGTGCCTGTCAACTCCATACTCTTTGGTGGGGTGGGGCATGCACCAGATGCATCCCTTCACGGCACGTGCCAGGATAGACGGAGCCATCCGACAGAACAGACTAATTGCAATTGAAAGCAGGTATAAAACAAGTATCAGATTGTCTGCTTCAGTGCCGTTTCGATGCTCTGGCAGTCTTCCAAAATTTAAGCAGAATAATTGGGGTTCTGGGGATCTTTAGACAGCGTGTAGTTGGTCAGCCAAAGTTTGAGTGGAATGTATGAATGTGGCGTTGGATTTGTTTCGCTGTCGTGTCGCTATGCTAAGAACGCCTATTAAAGGGCCGCCACTACATAAAAAACATGCGTCTCAAAAAAAAAAAAAAAAATTATGCGAAATAAAATAATTTTTTAGAGCAATACTGATGGCACGAGATTTATTTTAAATTCTGCGCGCAAAGTCTATGACGCCACGGAATGTTCATACACTCTTTCCACCTCAACGACATGGTTATACACAATCTCTCCACCTCAATGTGATGGCCAAGGTGATTCACCTCTCCTCCATGTGCCTGAAATGCCGAGAGGGAAAACAAGTGGAAAGGAGGTAGCTACCGGCTAAATCGCGACTCGCACCCTCAATATTGCTCTAAAAATCTTTGTCTTTTTCGCGTAAAATTCATTTTTTGACATGCGTGTCCCAACCAGACTGTTTAAAGGCCTGTTCCCACATGCAGCGGAGCGCTACAAGCATAGCGCTTACCTCGCGCTAAGCGCGTGCTGATGGGAGCGTTCACCAGCTTTGTATCGCACCGTCAAAACTGTTGCTCATGGCAGACGATAAGTAGCTGACGGCACGTGAGGAGCGCTACATCAGCGCTTCGCTGCATGTGAGAACCGGCCTTAAAGAAACATTTTTTTTTTCTTTTCAGTAGCCCTTTAAACACTCTGCAACAATGTTAGCAGGCAAACGACTCCTTGCACTTTTCGGAGCAGACATCAGTCACCGAACGAGAGACTTCCACTCTTACCTGGCTCCACTATGTGGAAGCCAAACACACTTTAAGGGGCTGTGCAACGACATTGGGTAGGAATATTTCTTACTTAACACCAGCTTCCCGGCACTAGTGAAACCCAAGAATACTCGAACGCAACACAAATGATCAAGAAGCGTCTTTGTCGCGGCAGAATTCAAAGGATGAAAGAGGAGCTTTTCTTTTAGTCTCTACTTCCAAAGCCGCCTTTTGCTCCTTCGCGAAATTTGATGACGGAGCTGTGGAGAGAGACAATGGCAACAGTACGATCCCCGAGAATGCGTCATCGAACTTTGCGGTGACGATATTCAAATGCTGCTCACACAGTGGAAGCGAAGACTGCGTACGCATTCGATCTGGGCTCCTGACAATCAATGCCTCGACATGCATTCGGGTAGTGGCCCGTGTCCAATCGCTGCAACGACGACAATAGCCGAGCCATACCAATGTCTGGAACTCAGCGTGTGTCCTGTGCTTTGCCAGCCCCAGCGCGTGGCTATGATCAACATCGGCGGCATATAATCGGCTCCAGATCACGTGGCCGCTTGTTCTGGCTGCTCGTTTTGGGGCTGAACGCTGCTCGTTTTTCTTTAATTTTTTTTTCCTGGAACTTCTATTGCATGGGGTGAAAAACAAACGCGTGTTTCATAGGTCATTAACGTCAGGGATCCGTTTTAAGCGGTATTTGCGCAAAGCACAAGAATTGTTGCATCGCCCCTTTAAAGCATACTGCGATAGCCTCGAGATTGTTGGTGTGTAAAGCAGCCTTCGACAGTCACGCTTGTTTAGATAGACTGAGACTGTAAAAGATTTCTCATGGCTATTGCCTCCCATGGAAACTTTAAATGTTGCACCAAATCGCATGGCATCGGGAAGTGCCGATACTTACAATAAGCATAGCCTACCTAAAAAATGATAAACCCAAGACTGGGAACAAATAAAAAATGGACAATTACACACACTGTCTTGTCCGATTTCTTTATTTGTTCCCTGTCTTGGGTCTGTCGCTATGGGGTCAGTTCTCCAGCTTGCCTGCATTCTTTCACTCTCGGGGGATATCTTAGTATATAAATAAGGTGAGGAAGGCTCTCCCAATGACGACAAAGGCAGTTGCATGCATGCCCCGCTGACTCAAATGGTATGTGCGTGAAAAAAAAGCACAAAATGGAAAATTTCACATTAAATTTCACAGGCTGAGATTTCATTTATAGGGTTAACGAAAAAATTAAAGATATAGATAAAAGAAAAAGTATTGTTAAGCAATATACAGTCTCCCTCAGTGTCAGGGCAAACAGGTGAACGTCAACCGATCAGTACTGCCATGCACTTTCTAGCCACGCCTTTGCGAATCACGAGGAGTGAACACCAGTACAAAAGAGATAAGTGTGCCATCACGAGAATGTACGCTGCCCCCTTTCGCAATCTAGTTATCCAGGAAATTGCTTTGTAAGCTTATCAAGACTGCACACATTCATCAAGATAAGAAACACCAAGCGCATGAAAGGTTGTGCAATCTTCTACGCATTTAGTTTTGCTGGTCTTGCCGGCATTATCCTTTCTTGACTTTGACGCAGACTGTACGACCCTGCTTCCACGATTATCACTGATGAAAGTGACAATTACCGCAACTTGCAACGCGGAAATCGTAGCCAAAAAAGCGTAGTCTGCAGCAGATTGATCATTGCAACAAGCATTTCCAACTACTAATAAAACGAAATAGAAACCATAGAGAGAATGGTTTAAAGCAAAGAAAGGGGGTTATACATGCTTGTGTTACAGTGCATCAGCTCTTTTTCTGGAGGCACTATATCTCCTCACAACTTGCAGAGGTGCCACTAGTGTGAGCTTGCAGTAATGATTGGTCGGTGCTTGCATGTTCACCCTCATATTGAGGACGATTCTAAAGTGTGTTCAAAAGTTAAATATAAGCGAGCTTAAATATCGTATAGAACACTGATCACACTGTACAGGGTGCAGCAGTCAGCACAAACAAGCAATCTCTGGTTTTTTCCGTTTTATTTTTCTAGAGATTAGGGGCTATTATTAAAACTCCACGTGTGGTGCAAAAAGTCTTATTCAAGGCAGTAAGTTAAGTGGTAAAATGTGACAAGAATATCTGTTACAGAAAAAAAAAGCACTCTCATTGTTTGCGCTAATAGTGCCGAACAGCGCGTAAATTACTTGTTTTCTCGCAATCGGGAGAATGAAAATATTTTCCATTCTTCACCGACCCATTCGACCAGATGCCAAAGTAATGTAGTTTTGGGTAGCACCGCCGCAGGCAGGTGAGCACGCCGCCTATCTTAAAAAGAACACACCGGCTATCTTAAAGAAACACCAACACTCCCAGAAAATTTTATATTCCTGTCAGACGATTTATTATGGTGTCAGAAGATTACTACCCAATCGATATTTTGCTGCAGAGTTACATCTATTTTTAATAAAGTCAAAACACTCAACTGCTCGAAACCAAAACATGTGCACGGAGGCTTGGAGGAGAGAGTTGCCGGAAATCACAACTCACGTGGCTATCGCTCCCTAAAGTCACGTGGCTATTGCTCCTTAAAGTTATGTGACTATTGCTCCCAAATCGTGTTCTGGGTAGGCGGGAACTCATTGGTCATGTTCAAATAAAAACGTTGGCATGACGAAACCGTCCGATCCGACGTCCGACCAGGCAATACGACGGTCGGAGGCGAGGGTTTTCAACGCTCTCCGATGCTACGAAAATCCTCGCCCCCCAAGGTCACTCAGGCAGACTGCACGTCGGATCGGAAGGTTTCGTCGTACATGTGTTTCGCGCTTAAGTACCCTGTTAGTGTCCCTTAAAGGCCGTGCTGCTACCTCTACATTTTGCACATTCTAAGGCGACAGGTGTGGAAAATAACTAGCATAGAAGGCCCTGGTAAAACAAAATGCCTCGATCACTGCACCCTCTTAAACAAATTACGAGCCAAACACTACCCAATACGAGCATCGGACCTACAGTAGCAGTTATATATCAAGGCTACTGTCCTTGAACAGATGTTGAGTATAAGACTCATCTCAAGCATGTAGAGAAGCGTCTTTTCTGGTAGTGCGTGTTTCTTGAGAGAAATCACCACAGCTTCAGGGCTTGCCCTTGAAAAAATAAACCTTTACTGCGTCCATTTAACGCACACAATGAGCATATCCGTACCGATTACTCTCCGATGTACTTGGGCCGCCTCTTCTCCTTGAACGCGGTGAGCCCTTCCACCCTGTCCTTAGACTGCGTGACCTGCACATAGTACGACCGCTCATAGTCCAGTCCGTTGGCCAATCCGACGTCCATCCCTTTGTTGATGGCCAGCTTGGCCATCCTCAGCGCGATGGGCCCCTGCGGCCTGATCTCCTCGGCCAGCTTCAACGCCCTCTGGAACGCCGCGTCGCCATCCTTGTTCTGCGTCACGACTTCGTTAACCAATCCGATGTCTTCAGCCTGCTCGCCGTCCAAAACGCGGCCGGTGTAGATCAGTTCCTTGGCCTTGGCCTTGCCGACGATCCGCGGTAGCCGTTGGGTGCCTCCGGCGCCCGGTATGATCGCTAGCGTGGTCTCGACCAGTCCCATCTTCGCAGAGTTTGAAGCGATCCGGAGATCGCAGGCTAGCGCAAGTTCGAGACCGCCGCCGAGCGCGGCACCGTCCATCGCCGCGATGGTTGGCACCGGGAACTCGTCCAGGGTCACAGTGGAGCCCCGAAGTCGTGCCACGAAGGGCCCGACTTCCTGCACGGGCATCGCGGCGCGCTCCTTGAGGTCGGCGCCGGCGCAGAAGACGCCCGGCACGAGGCTTCGCAGCACGAGGATTCGGAGGTTGTCGTACTTGAGCGCGTCCAACGCCTCCTCGAACGACTTCAGGAAGACCCGGCCGATGGCGTTCTTGGCCTTGGGCCGGTTGAAGCTGAGCACTGCGATGCCCTCTTGCTCGCCAGTCAGCTTCTCGATGACGATCTCGTCCGTCGGGGAAGGAGTCGCTTGCGCTTGCTGGGAGACGAGGCGGTGACCGGCACGGAGAGAGTTGCGCAGCGCACGTGATAGGAGGGTGCAAGCCATGTTGGGTTTGTGCCCTCGGCCCAAATTCTCAAAACTGGCGCTTTTGTGCGAGTTCGTAAAAGTTTGGGAGGACGACCGCTTATAATACAGACGGTGACGGCGGTTAGTTGAATGGAGTGGCGGAAAACTGATAATATCCCGGTTGCTACCCTCGCAACCAGCGTTCCCGACGACAGAACAAGAACGCCGCGATTCACCGCTATTCTTACCGTTTTTAGTTTATTTCGTTTCCACATTCCAAAGACACGCCGACATCTAAAACGCTGTGCTGTCGCACTCAACGTAAACCTCATAATTATTTTGCAAGTCCTTAAAAAAACGCACTCGTAGCAGACGACACTCGCAAATTCCATGACGTCACACTCAAGTGGCGTGGCCGCGTGGCGGCGTGGCACGAAACGCGCTTGCGCAGTACCCACAATCGAGCTTCCCAGACCGAAAACTAAACTAAACTTAATACCAGTTTTCGATTACGCACCGTATCCTGGAGGAATTTAAAATAAATTTTACTTATTGCTAAGAATGCCACAGCGTTTTAGGTTGCCTCGCGTCCGGCGCCCTTAAACTGGAAAAGCCGTAATTGTGGAGTCGGCGTGGTAACAAAAACACGCCCCGCATCATGTGATCCGGTTTGCAGAGTTCGTCCCCAAACATAGAATCTGTCATGAGTGAATATAAAAAGCTTTGAGCAAGCAAAACAGAGACATCCGCGGGGTGCTATGACTGAACAAAGCAATCATGTGAAGCAGAAATCAACAACAAATTAGTGGAGATTTCACCGGAGCGGGACAAATAATAACAACACTCACCAAGTTTGAGCGCAGCATCAATAACTGCCTGACCAGTGAAGCCGGTAGAGCCGAATATAACAACTTTCTTAATGCTCGCAGCCATTATAATTTACGAACAGCACGAAACCAACGAAGTCGACGTACGGAACGGTTTAGTACGTCGCGAACCACGCGAACGGAAAGCGGGAAAGTGCGGAAAGTTAGAACTCAAGGATAACGTTGGTGGCAGACGAATATGGGTCACGTGAGTTATCACAAAAACAACAAAGCTTTTATTTGTAAATAAGTCTTGCATATGGTCCGTTTGTAAAGTTCAATGAATAAAATTAAGGAACGTCCAAGATTCCAATGGGTTTCTTATATATATTTAAAAAAAAATCATAATAAACCACGTACGTTCGTTAACAATTTGTGTTTCTCGAACATAGATGGCGGAACGATCGCGCAAATGGCTACAAATGGACAAATGGCAAATGCTCTCCAAAATGACACGCTCTGTTAATATTTTAGGTTTGGTCGGCATCGCGTACCCAAGAAATCCACTTCAAACCTTCTTAACCAGTCGCTGAAATATTTGTGAAACGAAAAAATAGAGAACGCCGCACTTATTAAATAAATAGAACACTTCGCTTCAGCGAGAAAAAGCTGGAAACGAAAGCGCGGCCGAGCAGACAGGAAGTGAGCAATTTTCATTCCAACGGACTGCGCATGACCGGAAACCGCTGAACAGAAGCAGCAACACTGAAAAAAAAAAAAAAAACGAAAGAAAAAAACAAATCCTTCAAACAGCAGCCAGCCGTACAGGAGCAGTCGGAGACCGAAGTGGACCTTTTTTTTCGTTTCGCCGTGTGGTGTGTGTGTGTGCTTCTGTGTGTGGCATCGCAAAACCCGGATCTATGTGAAACCATGAACTCGTGCGTCTGAGTACAAGATGCCCATGTGTCTTGGATAGAATGGCCACGCTGTCTGCATCGGACATATCCCGACGAAACCCACAGGATGAATACGAACTCGTGCAAAGAGTCGGGAGCGGTACCTACGGCGATGTCTACAAGGTAACGTATACCGGCGATTCTTGCACCATCATTCACACACGCTTTTTTCCCGACGAAAAGAGACCGATCTGACGACCTCTAGACGCAGGCAACGCTCGTTAAAAGCGATCGCTCGCTCGTCAGTTACCTCGACCCGTTGACGATACTGCGAAAGAAAAAGGAGGTTGGCTATCTTGTGAGCTCTCTTTTGAGTCACTGATATCTCGTAAGTACGTTCGGAGCGGCTGCCGTATTTGTTATATGGTTGTGTAGTTTCCCAGTCGTCGTAGTTCCCTGCCAGAGCCGATATATAGGTCGACTGGAGGGTGTGTATCACAAACTCCGATGTGCTTTCTCGAGCCGCATTGCGCTAAGCCTACTCCGCTACCGCAGTGAAATTTATGCAGGGCAAATTTTTTGTTTATATATTTTTTTTTGTCGCGCTTTGTAGATTGTTGTTTGTGAAGGCTAGAGCTATGAATAAACTCGCGATGTGTGTGGTTAAATCGCAGTTTTTCTCTTTTTCGAGCACGCACGAGAGTTTGATGGCTTCTCGTTTTTAAGAACTGTCGCCGGCGCGCAAAAGAAAATTTCGGTGGTGCGTGGTTGTCGCAGCGAGTCAGGAAAATAAATGCAGGAAAAAGAAGGTTACTTCAGATCTAATCTGTCCAGTGGATAAACTTCCCCTGGGAGTCAACAGATAAATGCGACGCCGAGAGTGGCCTCTCCGATAAGCGTTACGCGAATTTATGGTGGTGGTTGTGGTTGCTTCAGGTAGCAGCTTGCCAAATGGTGGTGTTGGTTAATTTAACCGCGTTTCTAGTCACTTTACTTTTTTTTAATTTTTTTTAACGGCTTTACGTTGAGGTTTACGAGGATAGTTTGTAAAGGAATCTTGCGTTGCGGCTGCTTTTCTACTTGCACACATACACAATTTATTGAAGACCACGATATATTGTTTTAGAAAACCTACAAGGTGTCCCCGGAAAAAAATGGTGTTTTTTTTTTTCTCACTGCAAAAATAAATTACGCGTCGCCGAACACTCACTCTCTCCCGAAAGGTAGCGCTGCTAGAGGCAGATGCCAAAGTTTCAGCACAAACCAATATTTTATTCAAAAGTTATAAATGATTTTCTGAAAATTTCAGCGGGAAAATGGGGCCCATTTTTTTCCCCATTTTCGGTTCCTGGCGTCATAAAGTTCCCGTCGGCCGCCATTTTCCCATTGAAATTTTCAAAAATCCCTTATGACTTTTAAATAAGATATCGGTTTAGGTTGAAACTTTGGCCTCTGGTTGGAACCCAAACGCTACCTTTTGGCTGAGAACGAACGTTCGGCGATGTGTTTTTCTTTTAATTTTTGTGGTGAAAAAACATTTTTTTTTTTTTTACACCTGACGATGCCATGCCCTTGGACTACAGCGGCACAGAGACGTGTGAAGCAAATAAATACAAAAGTAAAAAAAAAAACACTGTAAAACAAAATAACACCAAAAACCGGACAGCGTTCAAACCAATAGCCCATCAAGCCTTGAATATTCATGCTACTGATCGTCCCTGTTCTCACAAAACGCCGTTATTCACATTTCCTGGGCAATAAAAGATCCTTCAAATATTCTAAAATTTTTGTAGTGGGATATTATTTTGTAACAAATATAATATAATGAGGGGATGATTTAACACGCTGAATGCATTAATTTGGAGACTAGTCATCCGTTGAAACGGAACGAACGAAAATGTGCCACTTTTTAAACTGTCCGTCAGCTGTTTTATTCTCCTACGTGGGCTATTTTCAACTCATAACTTCCGAACAAAGAATAGCATTCCTTTGTTCGACCCCCTAAATTTTTTTTTCGCTAATATATAATATTTGCTAATCAAGATGAACAATAGAATCATTCTTTTTGTTCTTTTTCTTCTTTTTTTCTTTTTTTTTTGGGGGGGGGGGGGGAATTCATTATTATTTTTTTTTACTTCGTTTATAGGCAACAAAATTGAGAAAGTCGGTTACCTCACCTTGTGAATATGCAAGTGATAAAGTGGACGTAGTTCGTAATAACAATTCGTTCTACTTCCACAAAAAAAAAAAAAAAAAGTTTTAGACAGCTTTACGAGTTTTTGGTTTTCTTTTCGGGAGACGCAGCTTGTGGGCGGGAGAACACTACTAGAGTTATTTCCGGAAATTTGAGGGTCAAAACACAAGAATAATAACAACGCTGTAACGCTCTTCCTTTTTCTTTTTTTTCCTTTCGTAGCTGACGAGTTTCCATAACATGTGCACCAACACACGTCTCTTAGGTATTGTTCTCATCTTGACGGGAACTATTGGCGACGAGCGCGATCAAAAGCATCTTCCACGATTGGCCAGACACTTAATATATATGGTTTCTACTTTCATTAATGGAAACGTTAGGAACGTCAGACTCTCAACTTTTACGGGTTCATTTAGGGATTGCGATGACTTCGAGCTACTATACGGTGCTTTTTAAGCACCACACACCGTCGAAATTGTCGCTGACAATTGATAATTCTGGTCGTGACTTCACAGATAGAGAGAGAGAAAAAAAAAAAAACATCTTTAACCCTACGAGGAAGAAGCCAGCGAAACATCTCGTCGTCACTAGGGTGCCTTCATGTGCGCTTTGCTTAGGGTGGTGGCATCTGGCCATTTTGTTCCACACGTTTATTTTTCTTTTTTGTTCAAGAGCGCGTGCAAGAGCGTGTCCCTGCACGCGTTTGTGGCGCTGACTGTGCTATGGCGACATTTTGTTTTCGTCGATTTCTTTGTATTTTCCCCGTGAGCGCGTGCTGTCGGCATCGGGTGCTACAAAGGGTGGCATCACCCTAAACAGAAGAACATTAAGGCACTCTAGTCGTCACACTAGTCGCTCCTGCTTTTGTAACATCAAGAAAGAAGGGCAGGTTTTTGCGCGCAACCCGTGTTTTATGCAGTAGTGTTTGGGCTGCGCGGCGTTTAGTGACGACGGATCTAATTTCGTTTTTACTTCGTTCATGCGTCGACTTCTTCCCCCGGGGCTGTTGTCGCCTGGCACAGTGCCTCGAGAAATAAACGAAACAAAAAACAAAAAGAGCGGCGGTACTATTGACCTTTCTTGTGCGGTCTGGGCTCTGGAACACTCTTGATATAAACGGCTTTTTTTGTTTTTTTTTCCTTTTTGTGTACGCGACCGAGGCGGTACATGTGTAGGCGCTCCTTTTAGGAACGCCCGTGCATGTTAATGACGACGGGGGTCCGATGTTTCGAGACATCAGCAAGCGCTGCCCTCTACTTCATTGCTTTCTCTTTTTTTCTTTTTTTCTAGGGTAAGATTGAATACTGGACTAATTGGAAAGCCGTGACTGAGTCGTGTAACAAGACACATGCCCGTGCTTCTTTATCTTTTTCGTCGATTCAGCCACATTAAACCACGGTTACACCCTACCAACTCCTCCTAGGGTGTAACTTCACTCCCCATAGTTACACCCTACCAACAGCTCCTGAATTTTTGGCGCCACCTAACGGAGGTTAACTTCGGGCACACACTTTGGACACGAGTGTTGCGACAGCGTGCGGCGGGGACTCGTGATTGGAACACGAGGGCCAGCCGAATGATGACGCAGCATATTCGTGTCCAATCGGCGTTGGCCTCCGCTAGGTGACGCCCATTGTTGCTAGATGACCGACTGAACCGAATTGTGTGCCCGATTTTGTTTCGCCGAATCAAGACGACGCGCTGCATCTTCCTCTTGCGAATAGCGCATTTTCGCGCAATAAAACCCCGCTGCGTATAGTAAATTTAGTACTGGAACAAAAACTAAACGTAAACTAAAACCCCAGTTTAACGTTTTGGTATTATATACCGCAGCAAATACCACGAACTCCCGTAGTCTGTAAATCATCTGCAAATGTGCGAGGAGAGTTTGTGGACACCTTGTCTACTCTTCAGGATAAGGCCCGTTTTCGGCAAATACCGATAAACCCCGATTAAGAGAACACCCTAAGGGGTTTTCTCGGAATCGGGTGGAAAACTGTAAAGAACCCGGATTCGGAGCTGCCCTTGCCCTGTTTTGAAGGAAGCAAATTTTTATCTGCATCTTTTTGTGAACGTCGCTTGCCTCATCGTCTGCTATTCTCGGTACTGGGACGAAAATGCAAGAAAAAATATATTAAATATAAAACGAATTGCAAGTGCAAGAATGGAGAGCTTTAATAAAATAGTCATAGCTGAAAAAACAAAAGAGTTTTCGGTTTTATTTGTTTTTGTATTTTTCATACCAGTACATGTTTTTCGATTTTAACCGATTTTGTATTCTCGTCATCAACGAATGTTTATCGTTTCTTTGTCGGTTCAAACCAAGACGTTTTCGGGCTAATTATAGCCGGCTATGTATTGTCGCCGGCTGAGTTGGCCAGGATGGAATGAATGGATAAAAACTTTATTTACTCGCCATCCCTATTCCGTGGCGTTTGTGGAGACCGCCAGAGGGCGTGAGCGACTATCTGCAGCTGCTCATCCTCGCCGGAACTGGCCCATGATGTGGGGAAGGTGGGGTGCGTGTGTACCTCCATAGTGTGTGCTCTATGTGCGCTCCACAGGGGGTGCACATTGCAGGGCCTCTTGCGCAATTTGCGCACCAGATGGTGTGCGAGTACAATTGCAGTTTCTAAGTGAAAGCTAAGAGCAAAAGAAGTAAACACGTGTCTCTCTGCCTGTATCACCTGACGGTATATCGGGTGTATACCCGTTATAAACCTGTTACACCTGTGAGTTCCAACCTGTGAGTACAGGATGAAGCGTTTGGTCGGTGCGACATTTCGTTCGTTCGTTCGTAACGTAGCTCTTGGCAAAATTGTCGGCCACTTCTCTGGAACCTGATACGAGCTTTTCTTGGGATAGATGGACGGGTGCGTGATGGGTAAATCGGCTTGCACCCGAAGACACTAGATCAGCCGTTTATCGTAATAAAGGACCGCGCCTGCTTGGTCTCGGGAGCTGTATTTATTTTGGTAATATTGTAGAG